CCAAGCCAGCGTCAGAAGGTCAAAGATACAGCCGTTGGCGCGCGCTGTCGCGTCGTCGTTTCCACAAGGTTGTAGTTGATGTGCTGTACTGGGATTCACCCGGCTCATTCCCACGGGCAGCAGAGTGCTCAAAGACGATACGGCAGAGGATGAACTCTTGGGGCAACGAGAAACAGAACCAATAGAGTGAGGGAGGTAACGAATATTGCTAATTGCAGGAGCAGAGGAGTTGAGCAGAGAGTATTTTGATTTCCTCGGATAGGCCATGGCGAGAAAGTGGTTTTAGAATCGAATAACTTTCAGAGTATAAAACAAAATAATAGATGAATGTACAAGGCCTCGGAGAATTCCTTGCGCGAGAGAGAAGTGACTCCCAGGGAACGTCGTGTTCACACGCGGCAGCATTCGCTGTTCTCGATCCACAACATGCTTGTTGCGGGTAATATCATTTCCTCGTCTTGTCCCCTCTGTTGGAAGATAATGCGGGGTTCAGAAAAAGTCCGATGCTTTTTTCAGGTCCGAATCTGACATGGGCCCGAAAGTGGGACGAACCTGAAAAGTCCGAAACTGAACGCCTGGTCACAGAATCGACACCTTATGACGGTTGGGTTTACCTGGGAGAGAGAATAGTTGGATTCCACGATTGGATTGCGTTGCGTAATCGCGAAATCGGAATAGAATATGTTAAAGAGTGAATATCGTATTTCCATCTATTCGCCGTTATGGGGCCAAGAGATACCATGCAAGAGTAAAACACATGTCACATTCCCTTCTCGTAAATTTATGTTAAAGACACACATTGAACAAATAGCAAATGAACACGGGTGTTGACTTCCGCATAATCCACCAACTCCGGATTGCCGATAAGTTTTGTGCAATGGTCCGTGTGACCGAGTTCAATCCCCTCGTTAGACACCGGCGCGTCTATCATAGCCGCCATATAGATCATCTTAAGAACGTAGAGATATTTTGGACATGGTAGCCCTGCGTTGTCCACACAACAGGTGAATATGGCAATTCTTCCGCCGTGAGTGGCACCAAATCCGTCTCGTTGCCCGGACGCTCCGAGTACCATTCCCAGGGCCCATATTCTGCCTCCCAACGGGCGGACTCCTCGCGATCAAAATATGAAGGGTGCATCCAGCCAAAGCTCATCATATCCCAGAAGCAGCCACGACCTTTGGCGTCTTCCGGCATAGTACCGCAGTGTGCTGTGACGACTGATCCGCCCTGCGCCTACGGTGGACGGGAATCCGGCACTTTGCCGCTACGGCTGTCGGTCACCAAGGCGGCAAAAGCAATCATTCTTAGTAAGACGGCACATGTGATACCCACTATTGAAGCTCCGGAGCGACAATATGAGTGTTTGTGCACGATTAGCAGGCTGAGATGCTCCTCGTCGCTCGGATCGTCCATGCCGGATCGCTTGCTCACGAATGGTTTTTCGGCCTCATCCGGGCCCTCCTTCGGTCGTGACAAGCTGCGGCTGGGGAACCCTATAGTGTCGGTTGGGATATAGTTTACGTTCAGACTCAGCCGTGAGGGGAGGGTAGTCGGTACAGCTATGCAATCTTTTGGTATATGGTCGTATCTCGCGTAGTCGTCAATGCCGTCAAACAGAGAGGCAGAATGTATCATGAAAAATGATCTTTTTGATCTATAAGACTAATCGCTGAAATTTGGCTGAGCATGTCCCTCCGCTGTGGTCGCCGAATCTGACCCCTGTGCCATGGTAGCCCTGAAACCTATCGGACACTCTCTTTCACCAGCCAATCCCCCTTACCCCCCATTGAGAGACCGACGCCACTCACGACGTGAAACTTCTTCCTCCTTTAGCAGTGTCTAAAATGTCATTTGTGGTTCAGCCTTGTTTCCCTGCTGACGCTCCGGGCCTTGCGGCGACCATGATGCGCGCCCGTCTCACGGATCCCCACTGGGCTACTCTGTGGGAGGGCCCGTCCTCGGAAGACATCATAGCCAAAGCCACGGACCGGGTTCCCTGGAACTTGGTGACTGGGAGGGATACAAAACGGCACCAAAAGGTCATCGATCGCGAAACCAGTCAAGTCGTTGGGTACGCACGATGGATTCTACCTCCCATTCTGGCAAAGAACAACGATGTCTGGATGGAAGCCCAGGTAGCTGAGGAGACTCCAGCGGAACGCGCAGCATACGAAAAGCAATATCAAGCATGCACCAAAAACGGTCGTCCGATCGGCATGAGAGGTGGATCAATGATGAGTTACCGCAGCGCGCCCCTGGAAGCGGTCGATTCGCGAATCATGCGAGATGGTCCGTTTCTGAGTAAGCTAAACTCAACCCATGACTGGCGGTAGTCTTTTGTAACTGATATACCTCTCTAGGTCTGGATTACTTGACAACAGACCCCTTTTTCTGGCGGCGGGGTATTGGCAGCATGCTCGTGCAAAGCGGGCTTAAGATCGCAGACCAGCACTCAATCAAGACCTATGTCATGTCGGAGCCGGCTGCCTTGAAGCTATATCTCAACCTCGGATTCAAGTTGATAGAAACCGTGTCGACCGACTATTCCCAGTATGGTGGAACTGAGCCTATGGTTCATTATTTCCTCATCCGCGAGCCTTCCCTGTGAATGAAATCGGTTTTCTCACTCTACCCATGGATCACCCATCGAATTGAAAAATCAATCACTTCTATTATTTTTTCCTTTCCTTTCCAAAACTAAAAGTTTGCCTCCATTTAATCAACAATTAGGAGATCAGCTTCGGGTAATTTGGTACAAGAACTATAGGCAACCCGCGTCCAGGTCTCGACCTTCTCCATAGGCTTCCCTTGGGAATCGATGTAATGCTGACAGTGTCCGTATGGTTCTGCTGGGCAGTCAGCAGTCACCTGTGGAATCAAAACATTGTCGTCTTCTTTCGCTAGTGCCAGCACGGCCTGCGACCATTTGCAATGCTCTCGGTGGTAGTGACGCGTTGTGTACAGGTCAACCACACGGCCTGGCATGGCGATGTCTTGTGGAATTTCCACAGTGAGGTTCTCATCCAAGTAAAATTGTACGGGCCTTTAGCTATCCCCGCGATAGATATTCCTTCGCAACAGCACTCGGGTGCCGTCCAACCAAAATTCATTAAGTCGAACACGCATCCCAAAGATTCCGCTTCGCTGGGGTAGCTGCCGCAGCGGTATGCACCCCCAAGCTCCATAGGGCCACCGAATGAGTGTTGGTATTCCGGCTGGAGAGCAAGGGATACCGTGTACATGCGAACATAGGATCCCGGTTTGTGAACGGTGAAACTGGTGATAATGATAAGAAGAAGGGCAGTAGTCGCGAAACATGTAGCAACCACGAGCGCCTTTGGTGTTTCCACGAATCGCGACCAGATCTCCTTCACAGTACTCGGCTGGAAACGTGATGGGAGGTCTAAATCGCTGTCCCCTTTTTGGTTCAATGGATCGCTTTCTTCGACCAACGGAACCCGATCATAGTCCGATCTGGATGACGATGCTGAGGGCGGCGAGGGGCTAGAATCATGGTGTGGCGCTGCGAAGCTGTTTGTAAGTATTGGGTTATCCACGAACGCGGTGAAACTCACACATTCTGTCAATCGAAACAACTTTCTGAGCCAAACAGTCTATGGAATCGAAGCGAAAATTGTAAATTCATTGCTTCGGATGAAGGTGGCTTTTCCGTGCGAAGTATAGGCGAAATCGGGGTTTCTTCCTCTTCCGATGCTCAAATTCGGAGCCAAGTAGAGGCCGATTTATTGGTTAATTGCGAGAAAGAGAGTCGAGATATTTGCGAGGAGATTGTGCTTAGAGTTCCAAAAAGGTAATTTTACTCTTTGGACTTCTTTTCGCTGCAGATCCTATACTGTCTCACATCCTCGAGTATGGAACTGGTGAAAAGAATACTGTACAGAAAGACCGCTTCTTGTCCAGATATTCAGCCAGAAAGATAATTTAAAAGTCAATTCCAATTTATATGCTCCTCATATAGCTCTTCACATTCAAGCACGAAAGGCTCCCCACCATGGCCATAATCAAGTTTTTGTAGAGGTATTCAATTTATCATAGCATCTTGATATCAATATATGTTCAAACCTTACATGCAATTTGGCTCATTGCGAATTCTAATTACAGCTCGAGCTCACAAAAGTTGTCTCCTCTCTAGAAATGGCCGCCAAACATTCCCACCGGGCTGGTAAATGGTACAGCATATCTGAGATTCATTGCACCAATCAGCTGAAAAACTTAGTCGACCTTCTCCTTGCTGGATTCGCGCTTGTCAACCTTTTCCTTCGAAGGCTCACGCTTGTCGACCTTCTCCTTGGATGGTTCACGCTTGTCGACGATTGAAATAACTGGCGATTTAAAGTATGGCACCTCCCGTCGCTCGATTATATCAATCGAGCGTTTATCTAGAAGTATCATTAGGGGTTGTTCAAACTACTGGACATTCCGAGTTGGCATACTGGGAATATCGATTGGGAAGGCCACGATCGCGGTCGCGATCGTTGCAAAAGTGATGAGAGAACTAATTTTCATCTTGATGAGGCCGTCCTGGTCAACACACGTGTGCAAGCAGATGTTGATTACGGCGGAAAGATCAGAGAAGGTGTTTCTGATGGTGCCGATAAGAATATCTAGAGGCGGAAGAGTATGCCGGATTTCACCGCCAGCAAGACAAGTCACATTCGCGGACCTTGTAACACTACTTTCGTTAAGGATATTAATAAGAAATGATATGCGCTGGCTCTAACGCGAAAGCCTCCGAAAGTGATCTCTGTTCCGAATGTTTCAACTCTCGGAGCCGAAGAAGTGCAGCTCTTGGCCCAAGTCAAACGGACTGGTGTCTGCCTTACCCAGCCACTCGGTCCCCAGCTGTATCCTGCATGTTCCATCGGACGGCTTACCTTCAGCATATTTCACGCTTCAAAGTCTTGCTTAGTGTTATGGTCCGGACCGGGTAACATCTGAGACACTGAGCTGGATTCTTTGAGTCTCTACGTGGAAGAATGGCCTTCAATAATGAAGATCAAGAAAGTCTTCATAACAGGCTAGCTTATCAAATTGGTGTGACCAAGCCTCCAACTGCCACAAAATGTCGCCAATTACTCCTGAAATCTAGAGAAATTTGTCTGCTTTTGTGGCCGAGCCCCATCTCTGCCTACTTTGGCCTGAATTCCGCACCGACTAAGTGCTGGGGCAGTACCGGTTATCTAACTGGCCTTCGTGGAGTCGCTTGTCTGGCTGTCTTTACAGAGCATTTTTTGATGCGATTCCATCCTAAACTCCTCGACGAGTATGGAGAGCATCCAAAATTTTACCAGTTACCAGGAATTCGGCTTCTATATTCCGGTAGCGTGATGGTATCAATCTTCTTCATCATCTCTGGATTTTCCCTCTCGATTGGGCCCCTGCGTACCATATACAATCGGGACTGGGAGCATTTTCACCAACTGATGTTTTCGGCTGCCCTCCGCCGCCCTATTCGATTGATTCTTCCTCCGACAGCAGTTACATTTGTCGTCATGATCGGCGTGCGATTCAGCCTATATCAATCTCACTATGATAGCCCCATTGACCTGGACTGGCGCGGCCCCATCCGACAACCAACCTTTGCTCTCCAGCTGCTGGATTGGGTGGAGTACGTCCTGGGCCGGTTGGTTTACCCAGGTGAGTGGTTGCTTCCACTTCCAACCGTGAGCCCGTCGGAGTATGCAGTTCCACTGTATACTATCCCGCAGGAGTTGTGGTCATCATTCCTGCTGTTCATTTTCATCGTGGCTTTGAGCAAAGTCCGACCTGCAGTGCGCCTGATCACGTTGTTTTTCCTGGTTATGCTTTCTGCATGGTGCATGCGCAAGAAGAGCTCGTGTTTTCTTGTGGGTATGGCCTTAGCCGAGCTCCACCTTCATCGACACCTGTACCCGCCCCAGGAACATTCCAGATCTGCCTCGAATCTCTGGAAATATTTATCAGTGGGTCTCTGGTCCTTCGTACTTCTCTTGGGCATCTGGATGTGCTCCATTCCTCATACCCGCGGTGCGTACGGATCCTCAAGCATCGGCTATCGAATGATTTCAAGAATCATTCCCTGGAATTCCAATGTCTATACAATTGGAGCTGCACTCGTGGTCCTAGCAATCGATCAGCTTCCCATCGTGCAGGCCGTGTTTCGCACCTCGCCCGCGGAATACCTGGGCAAAATCTCCTTCTCCCTTTACATCATCCACTGGCCGATCCTTGCCGCATGGAGATGGAGTGTGGTCCCGTTCATGTGTAGGGTTACCGGTGATCATACAGCTCTGCGGTATGGGGCCGGATTTGCGCTCGCAGCTGTTTGTGTAACCCCCGTTGTGTTGTGGATTGCAGATATTTGTTGGCGATTGGTTGACGAGACTTCAATACAGTTCGCTAAGCGCTGGGAGAATATGATCTCCATAGAATAGATTTGAAAGAGATCGTCTTCCGCTCAAGGACTGTACACCAAGGAAGGTTGTCCGAGCTGCGGCCCCACCGGAGGCCCGCTATTGCGGGCCCCGCCGATAAGACTAAGAGACCGGAATAAAAACGGCCCCCGAAAGCTTGTACAACGCATAAAAGTAAGCATGTCGTGCCTCGCCTACGAACAGCCAATGGCTGCTGAAAATAAGTAAAAGGCCTAGGCATACATATCACATGCATAATTTTCTATAGGCATTTTTGTGCCTTTCAGGCGCCCAGAAGCCGAGACAGGGTCGCCGGAATTTCCCTCGGAGAGCGGGACTATGTTGTATTGACCAGTAGTTGCTTGCTTGTCCCGATTGTGGCCATGTATTGTGGCAAACATATTGGGAAATAAGGGATTGCACTAAAGTAGGGAATATCCGTTTGTATGGATCTAGAATAGAAGTGTTGAATGATTTGCCTAGCAGGAGAGGATCACCTGAAGATCCGATGGCTAAGCGATATAGAAGGGAAAGTAATATATCTAACTATGGATTCCGAGCTAAATCAGGATTCGGTGTCTAATCTGCGGCGTAATGCCGCCAAATCTGTCTATATGTCCGGCGGGCTTGTCAGAACGGCCGCATACCGTCAAGAATTTTTTTTCTCAGGCAAACAATCTTGAAATCCTGGACCACCATGACCAATGATAATTCCAATGCTCAGTTTGAAACGAATGCGTGTGATCAGTGTCATCGCACAAAGCAGAAATGCACCAGAGAACTGCCCCGCTGTCAACGCTGCGTCAAGTCATCTACACCGTGTACATATAGCTTTGGGAAATTCATGGGCAGGCCTAAGAAGAGACTTCAAACCCTCAGACCTCAGCGGAATAATTATGGAGACAATAACAACAGTCTATCTATATCTAATGATCAGGAGTTGGCCATTGATCAAGTCGGTGAGAACTCACGTTGTCTCTTCCAATCCAAGGCTTCCCCATCTAACCGCTGACTCATGTATTGTTAGGTCCCAACAATGCCGCTACTGCCAATAATCATCTCTCAGCCGGAGAAAGACAATCTCGAATGTCGGGCTTCCTGTACCATCATCAGTTTCCCTTTCATCATCCCTATGCATAGGCATCAAACGTGGATTCAGTGCTTCGGCATGTGATCAGTGTTATCGATTCAAAGTGAAATGTGTTAGGGATGGGGATCATTGTGAGAGATGTCTCGGTAACAACAACATCTGTACGTTCAGCTTCTCTTCGGAGGTTCAAGAACAAGCGGGCCTTCCCACCCCAGAGACTCCAGGGAAGCAGCGGCGTTTTTCCGAGGTGTTAGATCAGTCACCAGTTTAGACCACGGGTTACAATATTGAGATTTGCGTTCATATGGGCTGACGACGATAGATAATCCGCAATGCAGTCACCGAGCGACATTGAGTGTTCCCGCGGTTGGGGACAGGATAGTTGGTAAGTACTTAAACCTCGTTACTGATTAGGCCCCAGTTGACCAAGCGCTCAGCAGCAATTCAAACAGTCGAAGCGAACCCGCAAAGGAGTAGTGACAATGTTGACAATGACCTTCTGTCCACTGAGATTCTCGAAACAGACCTTTTGACGTGGTCTACCATGCCATATGACCCCCAGTGCAGCGACTTGATACCTTTGTACACAGACAGTGACGCGTCACAAGTGAGCAGCGGCAGCCGATCACGATGCGGACTGTCTGCTACTTCTCAAAAAGAAGAGTTGAACGCTTTGTGTTCATGCCTTTCGACGGCATTATCCACCTTGTCCCACTTGGAAGACTCGATTCAAAACCGCATAAGCCTGAACTTGGTTATGTCTACGGCGCGCAGTGGTCTTACCTTTTGTGAAACAGTCAGCCAGTGCCGATCCTGTGCAGGGCCAGTGACATCAATGCTCTGTACTACTATCTTACAGCGACTGGTCAGATGCTATGGTATCATCTCGTCCGAAATAAGTGACAACAATGCGTCTACATCACTGAATATCAAGATCGCGGGCATCGAGATCTTTGACCAGGCATGCGCTCCAAGCATTGTCCACACAATCCTTGGTTCTGAGATGAAGAGAGCCCACAGAGTGTGTGAAAGTTTAATCAGCGTGTTGGAGAGAAATGATGCGTTGAAGATACTGCTGAGTCTCATCAAAATGAGGCTCGTCAGCTCGAGTTCAAAAAATAGATTCTTCAGCTAGTGCGTAATGATCGACGCGCGTTCCTGTGCATGCTGACATGTAGCGTCGTGCATTCTTCGAAATATTACATTTGCGTTGTTTGAAGAAATTCTCCTTGGGACTGGGTAGAAATAATTAAAATATTTCCATTTGCTTTCCATTTGCTTTTTTTGTGCCCGTATATACATTCGAACATTTAGAACCTTTCGTGGCCATATAAAAAGACCACTTTTTTCCGAGTCGCGATCGCACTATGTTTACACAGTCATGAGGGATCCGCTGTGAGGGAAGACAGAAGAGTATCAGGCGTGCAATTTAATAAAGACATGTCGCTTGCACGCTGATACAGCCTCGTGGCAAGGGATTGCAGCAAGTCCCGCTGGCATTTCAACTCCTCTATCGAACTCTCGAACGAGTAGACTTGAAACAATTTGGAGAGCTTCATGGCGCAGATGGCTGCTCCCATCATTTCAGAACTAAGGACTGCTTTTCCCACCGCGGAGTGCAGCCTGGCCTTTGAGTGGAACGCGCGAATGCCCACTTCCACATCGAGTGTCTGATGCTTGGCTTCCGCAGTCGACATTAGCCAGCTGCCTATCGACGCGTAGTGCGTGTCTAGCAGTTGCAATATGGTGACATGCAGGAGAATGTTGCTACGGTGGCAGCTGGCCACGCAATCACAGAAGTGGCAGCAAGTCTGAACGGCTTCTTGAGCCACTCCTAGCACACTATCAACCGCATGGGCGTCAAGGTTGTGAAATTGATCCAATTCTTTTATCGCTTGGAGCGCCAGACTAAAGCATTTGCAAGGTGTCTCGGTCAGCTGTCCTCCTACTTTCTCCGTGTCCACTGGATTGGGCTGCTCCTCTTGTCGCAATTCGTCCTACCCAAACTGGTCATTGGTGAACACGGTCGCGGACCAAGCACTAGTAGGGGGGCCCTCAAAATCGACCAGCCCGCTGCAATCAGAGACAGAGATTTGATTTTCGGTGTTCATGCCGGCTGGTTTAAATACTTTCTGGAGCCGTGGCGTATATGGGGGTCGTTGAAGTATATGGAACGTTTCGTTAGCGGGGTTCATTCCCCGCCGTGAGGGGCTTTAAAAAGCAGCGCTGGGGCCTGGAAGAGATTCCGGAGTCCTAGGGCCAATGAGGACCAATGTGAAGTGCGAACGTCCTGCCTATGCTCTAAGTCGCTAGATATCACATTGTGGAGCCCGAGATTTCGCGTGGAATTAAAACAGCGGTATGCTAAGTGGATCGGTCAGCCAACCACTAACGTAATCGGTAAGCCAGTGGTCCACCCCAAAACACCATACTGAAGGCGATTTTATATCTTAACAACCAACGTCTTGATTTTATTTAACTACTTGCCGATAGTTATTGATAAGCATTTTCAGTACTATATATCAATTTCGAATAAATCGAAAACTTGCATTATTGTGGTATCGAAAATTACACCGTAAAAGCTTCAGAATATGTATATCTCAGTCACTAGTCTACTAAATTTCTTAAAACTCCCTAAAGTGGATAGATATCATATAAAAATCATTAGGGTATAAGGGAAAGTCTATACAGATCACCGTTGTTAAGATATCAAACCGTAATTTATCGCATTTACTATGTGTTTTGGGTTGGACCACTCGCTTACCGGTTACGTTATTTAATAATTTGGCTTTCCTTTAAAATCTACTCCTCGCTTCTTCTTATACTGCACTCAATCCCAGTCGATCAAATACGCATTCGTCCGGATCAAGTCAGTCAGATCCTATCCGAAATTCGGTTGTTCAGACTTCTCACTCCACTTAGCGCCTCGGTCGCACCATTAAGTGCGTGCGACTTACAAGACCCGACGACAGAAGTGCAATAGCTTCCTGGAAAGACGGGGATAATTCGTACATACTTAGGCTCGCAAAATCCGAACGACTACCTGATGCTACGCTAGCAAACTCCCGCGAGGTCCGCTTGATTCATGAAGGAGGCACTCTTTCAGCAGTATGGGCCATTGGAAATAATGGAATCTGCAAAGTCCACTATTGGAGCTCCAATACCATTTCAGACTGCCATCAAATCCATTCAAAAGAGGGTACCTGAGGTACCTGTACCTGAAGTGATCTATTCTTAGGTAGACGGGAATCGATTATTCTTGGTGCTAAAAAGAGTCCCGGACATAACGCTAAGGGACGCTTGGGGGACTATATCCACTATTCAGCAAGCTTCTATTTTAGATGAGGTTGTTCGTATGTGCGATATGCATGCTTCCGTCACCTCGGAGCGACTCTAGAATGTACATGGGGGACCTATACTAGAATCATACCTTGCTCACTCTGAAAGAAATTTCTTAGAGCCGCTGATTGCGTATGAAAGTAAGGAATATCTCTTTCGAGAGAGCATTCGTTCTAATCCGGAGATTGAGGACAAGTTTCATCCCTACCACGCCGATCTAGGGCCAAGGAACATAATTGTTTCTAATCAGAGCCTATCGGCGATAATTGACTGGGAGTCCGCTGGATTTTACCCACGTTTCTAGATCTCAACAAGACCTTCCGTTTCTCCGGGACTGAATTTCCACCCGCCAATCCCAGGAATCGTTGAGACCGAGTGGAGAAAGCGACTCAGAATGGGACTTGAAGACCGTGGTTATCCGCGCTTAGCAGAATGGTGCATGGAATGGAAGAATACAAACTCTACATAGTGAAATCAAGAAGAAGGTAGCACCCATCTTTGAATGTTTTCCGCCTCTACCTCAGTTACTAACCTTCAAAGGCACAATATCGCTACGTGAAATACATATTTCGTAGACATCTCATACATTCCCCCTTCTATTATGATAGGGTAGCAATTTTCTCATAAACAGTGTAGATCTGTCCCATAACAGCATCTACTTCAATCTCAACAAGCATCCCCTTGTCTATAAAGCCTCCATTAACGACAATCATTATTGCAGCAGCTCCTATCATTCCACTTCCAGCACGATTATACTTGCCCAATATCTCACTAATCCCGCGCCCCACAGCCTCACAGTCCTTATGGCGAGTGACAAACATCTTAACGCGGACTATATCCTCCGCGCCTTTACCACCAAGACCTTGGATAGCTCGAATACTCTCCTCCAGAGCAACGCGCGTCTGCTGTCTGGCATCTTCTGGGTGAAGCATTCGCGGTGCATTAGTGGGAGAATAGGGATCAACAGATGTTGTCCCGGAAACGAACATCTGATTTCCAAGGCGGACGGCCCGGTAGTAACCAATCTTTTCTTTATGGCGATGAGGTGGCAAAGCAGGTTTTCGCTTATCCGGAACCCATAGCGAAACTAGAAAGACGTTCAACTATAATATCAGTGGAGCAAACAAGAACGACAACCAGGATGACAGTACGAGACTAGAGAGATTTTCGAGAAAGGATAGAAGATTGTTTTCTTTTTCAAATGGCAAGTTCTCCCTTCTTCGTGGGGCCGAAGATCAATAAATACGACTTAGGAACCGAATGAGTCATCACTATGTGGCGTTTCTGACCAGCGATTAACGGCATAGTGTCATCGATGATCGAGTAATTGAATTCAATTAGCCTACATGGTGAGATTAGATAGTAGGAAATGGTAGTAGAAAAATACAGATTTTACTATAGTGGACCAAAGATACCTGTGTATTGGTTATACTCGGTTAATCCCCAAAATTAAAATTACCTCTATACAAGTCGCATGCCTGTGTTAGGGAGCGCAATGCCATATTTGGTTTTTGGGGGGGTGGAGGGCTCGTTATACGGTGCCATGACGCTGGAGCTGAAAGAAGGGTGTGAGTAGGGCCTCAAACCCGCCCGCGGGTCGGGCGGGTTATTTTCTTACCCTCCGAGGGCGGCCCTCCAAACATTTCAAGGGCCGACAGACATGGAAATCTGTTTAGATGCATGAAAAATGCAGGTTTCGGCGGTATTATTTAGTATTCTATTTATAGCTCAGTAGTATAAAAAATTAGGAGTATTTGCTACTAGGAGAGAATCACTTTAATAGGTAAAATATCTTCTATTTTAAACAAGTATTAAAGCGGAGCTAGGTCGGGTTTTTATACGTAAAACTCCATATTAAGATTCTAGATAACTAGTAAGTCTAGGCACGTTCTTTTTAGTTAGATTAAAAGAGTTAGAAGCGAGATCTGTAAAGGTATACTGTTTCCAGGTGTATGGCCTGTCAACCGGGTAAGATACTATGGCTTGGAGGAGAACACAATGTATTGTCTGGAGTGCCAAGCTAATTCTTGCCAGCCTCTTTGAGGGACCCTGGGGGGTCCCAGACTATAAGGGATCTGTCTCTCCAATGTCGACATGCATATCATGTGATGAACCCCTCTCGGATCGGCCTCGATGTGGGATCGATCTGCCAAGACTGCCTGGCATGGTATTCTCTTTGTAAGGATCTTTATCCGTTACATAAGGATACGTATAATAGTATAATAAGGGGCTACGTAGACTATAACTTATAAGATACGCCTAAGATTCTTATATATCCTATATTAGTTTGACAAGTAGTCAACCTTTGCTTGCAGACTTGGGCCATTTTAACCAGGGACTGTTGAAGCTTCTCGCATTCTAAAAAATTATGAAGCTCCCAATCTACGATATTAGAGTTGGTATACGTTACTGTCAACTACCGTCGCTGTCGCTTCGGTGAGCCGTTCATCTACCTCATCTAGTGCTGGTCTGGTTTTGATTTCCGTCCATAGGCGTATCTATCTAAGCACTTCTTCGGTGATTTTGTCCCAGTCCGCGCGGTCATAAGAGCCTAAAGTAGTTTTCGAAATCAGATACAGTATACCTCCACACTCTTATGACTTCATTCCCCAAATTAACTCAAAATAAGCTAATCCATTCTAGTTCACCGTTCTGTAATTTCCACAGAACTGTAATGGTAAAGGCCGTGGACGACCGATGAGGTGAACGACCGATAAGTCATCGTCATAATACCGTAATGAACGCCCCATGTAATCAATCGAATCGCTTGGTATTTCTGACGATCTGGCATGATCGCCCGCCTGCTTTATCGTACTACGCCCGCCGGCCATAATACAGGACGGTGCGCTTATACAGTAGCTCGCACTGAAGATCAGTTCCAACTACGTAGACGATTCACTCTTCTCTAACCGCTGGTCGGAAAGGGGAGAAGGACCGTGACCACCCATCGACTCGGATCCGCCCACTCACTCAAGTTCAATGCGCTTCGACTGGCTGGCTAAACTGGAAACCCGGGAGAAAGGAAAACTACATCCCGCCCCAGAGCGACAAGGTACAAGCCGAGCTTCTCGAAGAGATATTTCAAAGGGCTCCCAGAGTGCTTCGTGGACGCAAACCTTTTGTTTAGCGATTCGTGGATACTGCCAAGCAGGCCTATATTGGAGGTCCACAGGCTAACTGGCGTCAGCGCCTTGATTTTGGAGTTCTAACGAAGATTATCAATGAGTTGCCGTGGCTCGGGCTGTTGATGCTTGGATATATAGAACACTTGGAATAATAAACACATGGCATAATTAGGACTCGGAATAAGCGCATGGGGTAATAGAACTGATAGGATTCTGCGGCGAGTCTGACAGTCGCTTTAACATACCTTTTCTAGTTAGTAACAAAAGTTTCAGAAATCCTGCTTATAAATACTCAGACTGTCCTTAAATTTTAAAGTCGACTTTCTTTTCAAACAGCTGACTCTTTCGATGATAAGGCTTTCAGAGCAATAAACGACATGCCCACTGTCCCTGCTCGTCGGTTCGCGGTGCAGCGACTGCACGTCGGCCAGTCGATCAAGGTGGTAGACTCATCTGGAGGCCAGGTCATCGACACCTGGGCCTTTTCCATTCCGTCAACGCCGGCCTTCCCAAGATATATGTCAATGACTCACACTCGGTCAACCTTACACAAACTTCTTCCATCTATTGGCGAGTCTTTCCTCGACAACAGACGAAACCCTATTTTGACGATTGTCGAGGACACATCTCCCGGCATACACGACGTTCTCTACGCTGCGTGTTCTCCGGAACGCTATCTCCAACTGGGTGCCGACAAGGAACACGATAACTGCGCCAATAATCTTCACGATGCTGTAGAGCAATGCACAGGGCCATCATTCAGCCACATTGTGAAGTTTCTCGAGAGTGGCTGGATGCCTGACCCCCTAAATTTATTCATGAAGGTCAATATCAATGGGACCAACTTGCAATGCTTGAACCCGGAAAGCAAGGCGGGAGATTATATTGTGTTGAAGGCGGAGCAAGAATGTATTGTAATTATGAGTGCTTGTCCGATGGATGTGAGCGCTTGTAATGGAGGCGAGCCCAGTAGCGCAAAATTCGAAGTCCTTTGAGCTAGGATAGCAGGCTTACGAGGCGCCTACGCCAGTACAATGCGGAATATCATGGTTACGTCCCAAGCTTTTGTCAGTTTTCGGCCCTAAACTGGATCATAGATCATGCAATGGATCAAAATTCCACCTTCAGTAACAATTGTGGTTATCGCCCACCTAGAGAAAATCCAGAGAAGTTCTTGATATCGAGAGTCACATCCAACAGAAAGTTTCGTATGTCACAACGAATAACCCCGTTCCTATGTAAGAGGTCGACAGCCTCCGCCATTGGTATGCCGCTCACTTGAATTCTGTTGAGAAAAGTGCTTAAGGAAGACGAAGGAGATGCGGCATATAGGATAGTTCACTTGCTTGTCTTTCTTCCCTTCTTGTTCCCAGTGGCATATTTATATTATTTCCCTAGAAACGATTTTCTATGTAGAACGCATACAAAACAATTCTCCTTCACTGCAACTTGGTGATCCAAACAAGAACGCAAACAAAACTCGAGAGAAATAGGAAGGAGCCTGGATGACTGCATATTCATATTCGGACCAGGTCAGTTCAGTTCTGTACGCTCACGGATAGTTCCTGTTGCTCTCCGTATATATCCACCACAACCAAACCCCTTCTTTCAAGACACGAGAAGCTTGGTCAGAATGAAACAGAAAATGATGGGCGATGGCGAGCTATAACAGAGAAAAGTCATGACCCGATCAAACTGGAACGCACTCAATAGGCCCCACTTGTTCACGCGTAGTTAAGCAAAGGCCCCAACTGGAATACATTGCATTCCGCCAACCTCCATAGGATAGGTTCTTGGCCCATAACCTAGCTAGTAATATTAACTGAGGCCTCCGTTTGTATGCTCCAATTCCATAACATCTCAGATAGATGCTCATCCTTTGCAACATCAGACAATTTTGAGTCTGTGGCATCCCAACTATAGCCATAGTAGAACTTTCCAGCAAGCGGCCCAACATCGAAGTACCGTCCACTTAATGACTTTGACTTAATCTCAGGGTCTGTAGCTAACAGCAACATTGTCAGAGCACCGTCTTCTGGCGGTATGCTCATCAATCGGACAATCGAAGAGTTGATGAATTTGAACATTGGCGGCAGCGCAGCTGATTCGGTCCCTGGAGCAGTGCCGACTGTGCCTATGCAAAAGCCAGATTAGCACGTCATCGAATTTTGGTTTCAAACCACATACCCGGGTTGAGGCAATTGACAAGAATGTTAGAGTAACCCGTTGCCTGAAAGTGCATGTGGAGACGCCGGGCAAATAATATATTCGCCAGCTTTGAACGTGCATATCTACTTGGATGTTAGTTTGGTTCATTCTTGTCTCTAGCTCTTTGGTTGCCGAAATTTCTGTACAAGGAAATGACAGCCCAAAGCACCATAATATGGAAGACTAAGCTGACCTCTGCAAGCTAGCTTGTACATCGGCAAGGCTTTCTATAGTCTTTGGTCCCTCCGTCCATAGGCCTTCAAAATCGATTTTGTCCGGTATAACCGGCTTATACATGGCATGAGCGTGGGATGAAACAATGACAATCCTCGCCTCGCCAAATGCTTCGGAAGTATGTTGAATCAGGTTCTACCAACAGATTAGTATACACGTACAACAAGAACAAGCAATTACCACAAAGCCATACCAAAAGGTTATGCGTGAACACGAAGTGTCCGAAGTACTATAACAACGGGAACTTGTTAAGCTTTTGGTCTGCAATATATATATATATATATATATGTTCTTACGTTTGTCTGCGTATGTGTTAGCAAACAGAAGGCGGGCCAAGGGGATATATAGGACATACACCAAACTGTACCTCGATTCCGTCGCTTGACAACGTCTCTGGCTATGACTGCTTAACATCGGCCCAG